AGCAGGTAGATTTCTGTGAGTTCAAGGTCAGCCTGGTTTACATAATGAGTTCTAAGCCAGCCAGGAGTACATATCAAGAGCCTGTAAAAACACAAAAACGAGAGCAAGTTCCAGGACAGCCTGCAAAGCCACAGAGAAACCCTGTCTTGGAAAAAAAAAGTTGGACAGTAGTGGCACACACCTTTATCCCAGCACTTGGGAGGCAGAGGCAGGTGGATCTCAGTGAGTTTGAGGCCAGCCTGGTCTACAGAGCAAGTTCCAGGACAGCCAGGACTGTCACACAGAGAAACCCTGTCTCAAAAAATTAAAATAAAAAAAAAATTTAAAACCCACAAAAACAAACTACTACATCAGGCTTCCTTTTATTTTGTAACTCCAGGAAGGTTTTTCTTTCTGTTTTTAATTTCTTTTTCTGTTACTTTATTGTACCCTAAGTTTAATTTCAGATTTATTCATGTGTCTCTGGATGTGCCTCTGTGTGTGTGTGTGTGTGTGTGTGTGTGTGTGTTGGCTACTGACCTCACCAAGATGGAAGCCACCATGTGACATACTTTTCCAGGTCCTTTTTTGTTCTCTTTGTTTCCTAGCCTCTAAAAGGCCAGAACTTAAAACCAATTTTCATGTAAAGAATTTTGAGGAGCCGGGCGTTGGTGGCGCACGCCTTTAATCCCAGCACTCCGGAGGCAGAGGCAGGCAGATCTCTGTAAATTCAAGACAAGCCTGGACTACCAAGGGGAGTTCCAGGACAGCCTCCAAAGCCACAGAGAAACCCTGTCTCGAAAAAACCAAAAAAAAAAAAAAAAAAAAAAAGGAATTTTGAGGAGGGTCTCCTGATTCAAACAGCACACTCTAACATGAAAAGAAAAACACCATACAGGTTTAGCTTCCTTTCTGGGGCGAGGGGGAAAAGAAGAAAAGAGAAGAAATGAAATGTGGATTTACAGACTAAGGGGAAGTAAAAAAACAGACTGGGAATTGATGGCATATATTTTTAGTCCCAGCACTTGGGAGGCAGAGACAGGGTGGATCATTATGAGTTCAAAGCCAGCCAGGTCTACAGAGAGGGTTCCAGGACAGGCTTTAAAGGTACAGAGAAACCTTGTCTCAAAACAAAACAAAACAAAACAAATGAACAAAAAATAAAATAAAGACACACAAAAACAAAAGGAGACAAACTTTCATTTGAGCTGGAATGGCAATGTAGAAGATAGCATGTAACCTTGCATTGAATCAGCATGAAACAAAACAATCTCTGTTAGCCAGAAAGATACTTATCTTCTGACATTAACCCATCTGGAAGATGTGTGTACGGTGTGAGAAAAGCAAGGTGGCTAGGTTAAGATTGTGTCTATGGGCCGGGCGTTGGTGGCGCACGCCTTTAATCCCAGCACTTGGGAGGCAGAGGCAGGCGGATCTCTGTGAGTTCGAGGCCAGCCTGGTCTACAAGAGCTAGTTCCAGGACAGCCTCCAAAACAATACAGAGAAACCCTGTCTCGAAAAACCAAAAAAAAAAAAAAAAAAAAAGATTGTGTCTATGATACATTGTTTTGTGTGATCCCAGTCTATGCTGGGTACAGTGGCACATTCCTATAGTCCCAGCACTTGGGAGATGGAAATAGTAAAACCAGGAGTTCAAAGCTATTTTAGGCTTTGAGACCAGCCTGGGATACATAAGATCCTGTTTCAAAGAGTTGACCAGCACAGCTGGAGACATGGCTCAGTGGTTCAGAGCTTGTACTGTTCCTGCATTGGCCCCAAGTTTGATTCCTAGCACCAATATCAGGTGAATTACCTGTAACTCCAGCTCTAGGGGATGTGACACGTACCTGACCTTATCAGGCACTTAAATACACAGGTTCACAAGTATGCATACATAAATAATAATAAAAACATTTTAAAATAAACTTATCTATACAACAAAGTAAAAAGAAAAAAATGAGCACCAGCACCAACAAACAACAAATGTGAAGAATGTTAAAATAGCAAAAAAACATGTTTATTCAGGAGCAGAATGTTCTTGGCTTTGAATTTGTATGCCTCTCATCCCTAATTTAGACAATCTACCTTATAAAACCCCTTGCAACTTTGTTTATAAGAGAAAATTCTTCAAGATAAGAGAAATAAGCAAGTTATCTTATACAATGTTACTTGCTTAAGTTCTGTTTAATATTTATACATTGCAAAGGCAGAGGTGGTGGTGAAAGCCTTTAACCCCAGCACTTACTTGGGAGGCAGAGGCAGGCAGATTTCTGCATGTTCGACTGGTCTACAGAGCGGAGTCCCAGGACAGCCAGGGCTACACAGAGAAACCCTGTCTTCAAGTCTTCAACCCCCCATTCTGCGCCCCCCCTGGCAAAGAAAAGTTGATGCAAATTATGTCATTTTTAATTTATTATACTTAGTTATGTGTACTCAAATGTGAGCATCAAGGGACAACTTGTGGGAGTCGTTTATCTCCTTCCACCATGTGGGTCCCAGGGATCAAACTCAGGTCATCAGGTTGGATTGCAGGTATCCTCCCTGTTGAGAAGGCTTATCAGCTCCATCCTTTCTTTAAAAAGATTTTTTCGTTGTTTGATTTTTTTGAAAAGATTCTCAGGTAACCCAACTGGCCTAGAACTCCCCCAGGTAGCTAAGGATGACTTTAAATTTCTGCTTCTACCTCCCAAACTCTGAGATTACAGGCATTTCTTTCTCATGTCACTGAAAAGCTGGAGAGCTGAATTGGGAATATAACTTACTTGGTAGTGTTTGCCTATCATTCACACACCCCTAAATTCAGAGGTGGAGGTTGGAAGATCAGTTCAAGGTCATCCTTGACTACACAGAGCGTGCAAAGCCAGCCTGACTCTTTTGAGATACAGAATCACATATATAGCCATTGTAAAGATACCTAAGAAGCTCATAACCACAACTACATCTTGGGAGTGTATAATGTACTTTTCCTATCCACTTATCTAAATACTTAATAAATTCACTAACTTTTCTTCTCTCTGGCTTCTGCTGAAGTTATCTTTGGCATGTAGTCAAGACTCTAAGCTTATCTGTCCCTGTGGAGGATGGGAACCCCTAAGGCAGCAGTGCTGGACTAACTGAGCCTCACTGTTGACTGCAGGCAAAGGGGTAGTAGCTGTCAACGGAGTCTAAAGTCACATAGCCAGCCTGAGAATTTTTGAGTCTAGGTTTTTTTTTAATCTATTTTTATTCGGAGTACATTGATTGATGTTTTTCCTGCGTGTGTGTCTGTGTGAGGGTGTTGGGTCCACTTGAACTGGAGTCACAGACAGTTTTGGGCTGTCATGTGGTGCTGGGAATTGAACTCAGGTCCTCTGGAAGAACAGCCAAATGCTCTTAACTGCTGAGCCATCTCTCCAGCCCCGAGTCTAGGTTTTTACATATTTAATTTGCAATATTTAAATATGCACCACATAAAGAGATTACCTACTTAATAAGTAATTATATAAAAGTTCAGTTTTGCAAACAATTACCATGTAGAAGTATTACTGAGTAAAAGCCTAAATAAACCCTCTTGCTTTGATCTTAGTTGACTTTAAAATGAGTAACTTTGGACTTTAACACATTTTTATTTCCCTACAAGATAAACTAGATTACTAGTTCCCTCACATGGAATGTGATAACAGGACCTGAGTTTGATTCCTAGCAACCACCTGGTGGCTCACAGCCATCTCTAGTAGGATATGATATCCTTTTCCACCATAAAGGCATACATGCAGATACAGCACTTTACTGTAATTTGGGGTTAACCTGACTTAGTCTTGCTTTCTGGTTCTCCCCTTTGTCCTCTCAATGCTAGCTACAACTAGCTGCTCTGAGGAAGACACATGGGGGAGAGCAGCATGACTTCACTCCCTGGGCTCTATCTCCTAAGCATGCACAGGGGGAGACAGCAGGGGCTTCCTGTGGGGGAGGGGAGGGCGTTGAGCTAGGCTATGTAGATCAGGCTGGTTCACTATCCTCTAACCTCTGCCTCCATGAGCCACCATCCCATGACCAGCTGATTTGTGAGTGAGATTACCCCTTCCCCATTTTGTTTGGCTTTTGGTACTCCATATGGATTTTAGGATGGCTTTTTTCTAGTTCTGTGAAGAATGTCACTGGAACATTCATGAGAATAAATAAGATAGTCATTTTATAATATTAATTCCACCAATTCGTGAGCATGGTTTTCACCTACTGTTTTCACCAAGGTCTTTCTTCAGTGAATTAAATTCTTTTGGAAGTCTTTTACTTCCTTGGTTAGGTTTACTTCTAGGTATTTTAGATTTTCTTTTGAGACAATTGTAAATGGGATCGATTTCCTGAATTCTTTCTTAGTATCTTATTATTGGTATTCAGAAATCCTACGATTTCTGTAAACAGTGGTTAGCCCTAAGCAGAGTTAGTAGTCGTTATTTCCAGGGGTGCTTAAAAACAACCTAAAACACAATATTTTTGTTAGTCTGTTTGTTTTTCAAGACAGGGTTTCTTTGTGTAGTCTTGGCTGTCCTGGAACTAGCTCTGTAGACCAGGCTGGCCTCCAGAACTATAGAGAAACCCTGTCTCGAAAACACCAAAAAAAAAAAAAGAAAGAAAGAAAGGAAGGAAGAGGAAGGGAGGGAGGAAGGGAGGAAGGAAGGAAGGAAGGAAGGAAGGAGGGAAGGAAGGAAGAGAGGGAAGAGAGGAAGGAAACCCAACAGAATCAGAGCCTGGAGGCCTGTGAAGGGATCCATGATACTGCATAACTACAGGAAGAGCCAGGGTCAGGTCCAGATGACCTTCTAGTCTCTAGTCTCCTAGAGGTAGGTATGCTGCACTAGGGCACCGGTAGCTCAAACAAGGTATGTGACCCGCCCTAAGCGCGCTGGGGGAACTACACTACCCAGAATGCACCTGGAAAAGAGCAGCGGGCCCTTCCGTCCGTACTAGCGCCTCATTGACTCCTGAGCTCCCTTCTCATTTCTGCCACCTCCCAACTCTCCAGGCCTGAGAGAGGGAGTGACCTCGAGGAGGCCCGCGAGAGTCTTCCTCCTTTCCTTCTTATTGGTCCAGCTCAGCTGTCATTCGGGAGCGAGGGGAAGTTTGTTTCCTGATTGGTGAATTCCGTTTGGCGCCAACTAGGAAAGGGGCGGGGCGCCCAGGTTCCTAGTTGTGCTGCAATTAACGCTAAGGCCACTTTGGTGGTGAGGCAGGTGAGAGTTGCTCCTCTGCTTGTCGGGGACCGAGCAAGGAGGGAGAAAAAGGTGAAGCGAGTTAATCGGTGAGGCCGCCTCGAGACTCTCGCCCCGCGGAGTTTGTTTGGATTTAATCTTGAGGTTGCAGGCGCCCGCCCGCCTGCGGGCCTCGCGGGGTTGAGAGGGAAGCACCGGTGCTTGTGGCTGGCGCCTGCCGAGTCCCCGACGCTCGCCCGTCCGCGCCGCTGCCCGTGGCGGTCGCGTCCCTGAACCGCGGGGTCGTGTTTGTGTTTGACCCGCGGGCGCTGGCGGCGTGGCACGCGGCTGAAGCCGGTGCCAGCGGGGCGGGGCCCGGCGCGGCGGAGGCGGAGGAAGACGGAGCGGGAGTCCGGGCAGGCCCGGCGGCGCCATGGAACTGGGCCCGGAGCCCCCCCACCGTCGCCGCCTGCTCTTCGCTTGCAGCCCCACTCCTGCGCCGCAGCCCACCGGGAAAGTACTGTTTGGCGCGTCGGCTGCTGGCGGACTGTCCCCTGTCACCAACCTGACGGTCACCATGGACCAGCTGGAAGGGCTAGGCAGGTGAGAGACCGGCGAGCGATGCCCCAGGCCTCTGGCCTCTGATCGGCCTTCGGGATGATCTAGCAGGAAGCAGGGTTTGTCCTGCTGGTCCCGATGCTCCGATCCGGGATGGCCTGGCCGGGGCCCGCCATGTGCACCCTCCCCCCCCCGGGCAGAATGTTGGGCGGGAGAGGCCGTTCGGATAGTCCAGGGCTATCCTCAGCCCGAGCCAGACCGGGAGCGGGGGAGGCTGCTAGGCTTCCTATCTTGTTTGCCCCCTTCAGATTTCCTTGTACTCTGTCTCTATTCCAGGGAGCTCTTTGGAATCTATCCCCACGGGGGAAAATGGGCCCTCCTAGGCCTTCACTTCTGCTCCGCTGAATAGCCGGGCCGGATCTTAGTTTCCTGTAAGCTTTGTTCCTTCTCAACAAAGGGACATGGCATTTTCTTTTATTGCATTTGTGCAAAATTCATGCAGTCTCTTGGCTGGCACGTTTCTGATGTCTACCCATATACCTTCTTAAAACTAGCCCTTTTTATTTAATTTTCTACAATGGAAGTCTTTGGACTCAGTAGTAGGCTTCCCTACACCACCACCACCACCAAAAGCCGATTCCATTCTTTTTAGTGAAGTTACCTTTCCTTCAGTCTTGGGCATCGGCTTTTCTAAGCATGTCCTAGGATTTTTCCAGCCCCTGAAAAGCTGGGACTTCTGCCCTATTCACCTTTGCCCTTATTCCCAGCATAGTACCTCAAACCAAGGCCCTCATTTTTAAGGAAATAACCCAGCCTTGGCCACAGGCACGTCCTACAATGTGGTCCAAAGCCAGATCCACAACTTTCTTTGTTCAAATACCAGCTGGGTATTCCGGGTGGCCAAGTGTGAGTGTGGCTGTCCTTGGTTTCATCTCAGAATAGTTTGTGGTAGCCTGGTTACTTCATAGCCCAGCTCCCTGAATGTGACTTTTTTTTTTTGTTTTTGTTTTTGGAGACAGGGTCTCTCTGTGGCTTTGGAGGCTGTCCTGGAACTAGCTCTTGTAGACCAGGCTGGTCTCGAACTCACAGAGATCCGCCTGCCTCTGCCTCCAGAGTGCTGGGATTAAAGGCGTGCGCCACCAACGCCCGGCCTGTATGTGACTTTTTAATGATGCCCCAGAAGTTGATCGTGTGTCGGTCTTTCTCTTGGTTTCAGTGAGTATGAAAAGCCAACGGAAGTGAGAAACAACAGCAGTCTACAGAGAATGGGCTCCTCGGAATCGACTGATTCAGGTATCATCATTGTTATTAATGGAGGCATTATCGTTACGAGTGTGTGTGCACGTATGCCGGCGCCTACCAAGGTCAGAATGCGTTAGAGCTCCTGAAGCTGGAGAGTTATGGACCATTGTGAGTGGTCTGATTTGGGTGCTGGGAACTGAGTTTGTCCCTTCTACGGGAGCACTAAGTGCCATCTCTTCGGTCCCTTCATTTTTAAAATTGGTTTATTTTGAGGCAGGGTCTCACTATGTAGAGCACATCGGCCTCAAACTCCCTGCCTCTAACCTCTTTAGTACTGTGGTTAAAGGTATGGACCAGCATATCCCAGAATTTCCTGAATCTTGTCTGTTTTTCCTAGGATCTTAACTGGTGACAATATACTCAGAAATCCTTCAGTACAGAGGGAGACCCTGAGGTGGTTTACCATGAGAAAATACGTGTGGAGGCTTTATTCCATTTCTTTTTTAATTTTTATTTTATGTGTGTGGGTGTTTTTCCTACGAGTGTCGTGTTACATACCATGTGCATGTATTTCCTTGGAGGTCAGAATAGCGTGGCAAATTCCCTGGAACTGCAGTTAAAAGTATTAGGAGCCATGTGGTTTCTGGGAATCGAACCCAGGTCCTCTGCCAGGAGTAGCTGTGTTCTTCTGAACTGTCTTTCCAGCGCTCTTATTTTTTTCAGACAGGATCTCATTGTGTAAACCAGACTGGCCTCTTGGAACTCATACCTAGCTGGTTATATTTTCATACCTCTAAATTAGTCCTATGATGTAAAAAATAAGATAACTCTACAAAAAGTGATGTGTCGTTCCTATCTGAAAAGCAGTCAATCTTGATATTAGTTGGTTCATAAATCTTGTTTCTCTTGTTGGTATTTGCAAACAGAAGAGGATCCATGGATTTTTTTTTAAGATTTATTTATTTATTACATATACAGTGTTCTGCCTACATGCCAGAAGAGGACACCAGATTGAATTGTAGATGGTTGTGAGCCACCATGTGGTTGCTGGGAATTGAACTCTGGACCCCTGGAAGAGGAGTCAGTGCTCTTAACCTCTGAGCCATCTCTCCAGCCCCTCCATGGATGTTTTTAGAAAATGTTACTTAACAATAGGATGTGTATTATTTACTAAGAATTTTGTTTTTTATTTCTCAAAGGTTTCTGTCTGGATTCTCCTGGGCCCTTGGACTGTAAAGAAAAGTATGTATTCATTACTTTTAAATTTTATGCTTAGAGGAAAGTTTTCCTTAACCAGGCCTGTAGTCTCAGCTAGTTGGGAAGTTAAGGCAGGAGGATCAGAAGTTCAAGGCTTGTCAGAATAAAGTGAAGGGTCTGGAGAGATGGCTCAGCTGTTAAATGCACTGGCTCATCTTCTGAGGATCTGGGTTCAATCCCAGCACCCACATGGCAGCTCACAATTATCTGTAACTTTAGTTCCAGGGGATCTGACACTCTCACACAGACACACATGCAGGCAAAACCAATACACATAAAATATATTATTATTTTAAAACTAAATTAAAAAGTGAAGAACTTGGTGATAGAGTGCTTGTGTGGTGTACATGAGGCCCTAGATTAGGTTTAATCACTAGACTTCACCAAAAAGAAGAGGAAAGAAACTTGTTCATTAGCTTTTGATGCAGGATCACATAGCCCTGGATGCAGTGGGTTAGAGCTTTGCAGTTAGCTGCTCTCAGTGAGATACTTGGATTACAGAAACACCACTAAGAATGAATATATTTCCCTTGCTCTGCCTTTTGGTGTTAAAGCCTTGAATGAATGAATGTAGTTCAAGAGATAGCAGGGTTTTTTGATCTAGATGCCTAGTGTTTGGGGTGCTCCTGAGACTAGAGAAGCTTTAGACATTGAGTCTTGTGTATCTTTGCTATAATGAAAACCTGACTTGCCCATCTATTTCCCTAACTGTAGGCTAAGCAATGTGAATCTGCCGATAAATACCTCTTTATTCTCATGTACTTTTTGATCTCGTTACAGCCTTGAAATTTCCCTGAGGAGAATAAATTCCCTACCTGTAAGTTGTCATTTTTATCTAATGCCTGTAAACTGCCCCTAAATGGCAGCATCACCTACATTTACAAAGCAGACATTAGACATTGCTTTTCTGCAATCTGGCAAACACTTAAGGCTAGTAGTAAGGCAATTCCTAGAGCAGCTTCAACAGTGGCTGCTTCTTGTGAACTTTGTTCTCAGTCTCAGTTTTATCAAACCAGGAAAGGTTCTTTTTACGCAAATGTTACTAGGCACTGTAACATACCTGCCAAGAGGGCTACAGGCCTTGTATATAATTAGGTGGAAGGCCATTCTAAGTTATAGCAGGGTGGAGTCCTGCTCACATTTACTGGTTAGCTGCTGTAGTATGTAGGAAGCTAGGTCTTCCAACCCCCACTTCATTTCTTTAAGAATGAGGTTTTGGGAGCTAGAGAGATGGCTCAGTGGTTAAGAGCACTGACTGTACTTCCAGAGGTCCTGAGTTCAATTCCCAGCACCCACATGGCAACACACAACTGTCTGTAACTCCAGTTCCAGAGGATCCGATACCCTCACACAGGCATACATGCAGGCAAAACACCAATGCACATAAAATAAATAAATTTAAGAAAAAAAAGTTGCCGGGCGTTGGTGGTGCACGCCTTTAATCCCAGCACTCAGGAGGCAGAAGCAGGCGGATCTCTGTGAGTTCGAGGCCAGTCTGGTCTACAGAGCGAGTTCCAGGACAGCCTCCAAAGCCACAGAGAAACCCTGTCTCAAAACCAAAAAAAAAAAAGAGAAAAAAAAGTTGATGTTTTGAGCTGAGTGATAGTGTCCCAATACTGGAGAGGAAGAGACAGATCTATGAGTTCCAGGACATCCAGAGCTGTTACACAGAGAAACCCTGTCCCCAAAACAAAACAAAAAAAACAAAACAAAACAAAAAACAAATAAATATGAGGTTTTGGCTGGGTGTAATGGGTCAAACCTGTAATTGGGGAGACTAAGACAGGAAGACCATCTGAAGTTCAAGTCCAGCCAGGTCTGCAGAGTGAAAGAAAGCCTATCTAAAGTAAATAGTAAATGAAATGGAAGACTTAAGTTTCCCATTGTTTCCTCTTATGAATTCAATTTCTCTTTTGTACTTTGGTAGCAGAAACTCTTGGGATGTAGCCCGGCGCTGAAGAGGAGCCATTCTGATTCTCTAGACCATGACATCTTTCAACTCATTGACCAGGATGAAAATAAAGAAAATGTAAGTGTGCGTCAACATGGTAACCCAGACTGCAAGTGAAGCCTCCAGTGTCAGCCAGCAGTTTGTGAGTGAAGTGGCTGGACTGCCACACTGGGCCTCGGGGCAGAGAAGTCTGAATGTAAACCTTGCTTCTACCTAGCTTTGTGATGCTGGACTTCTGTTAGCCTCCTTTGTGGGTTGTTCTAGGAATAAATAAGGTTATGTGTTTATAGAATTTAAAGTGGTACCTGGCAGGTAAATGTTGCTGGATTTTAGTAAATAAGGTATAAATACACCTGTAAGTAGTTTTCTCTAGAAGAGTCGACTCACGACTTCCTTTCTTGGCTTCAACCTTAGCGTGACTTGTAAGGTCTTCATTGTGTTTGGAAGATGTGTTCCACTGGACCTGTCTAGCAGCTTGTTTTTCTAATACCTTATTTCCTGTGAATACCTGCCAAATATATACACACTAGAATGATGAGCTAAAATCCAAAGCCATGCATGTTCTGTGGATTTCAGACTATCTGCAACAGTGGCTTGGAGGATGGTGTGGTTTGTTCAGAAGTCTACGTGTTCCCGCATGCTTTCCCCGAAACCTTGCAGGGTGTCTTGTCCAAAGGAGCTGAATTGTCTCACCTTGCTCATTTTATTCCCATATGCTTTTTTGTTTCCCATTCCCTGCCAAATGCCAGTGTTTATCACCCTTACAATTTCTAGGTTTAATACAAAACCAATGTCTGTAGAAATTCAGGTTCTGTTTGGGCGGTGCCATGAGGTTTTATATGGAAATGGATTCCCTGCTGGTGTGCTTGGAACACTCTCTAGTGTTACCAAATCAGAACTATGTAATCTGGCTCTTGGCCCAAACTTGACCTTCTCCCAAGGTTGTTGCCTTCCTGGAAGCTTTGTTCTAAAGGAATAATAGCATAGGTTAAAGTTATCCTATCTGGCCTCAGGGTCTTAGGCACACCATTTAACCTGGAAGACCTAATTTCCATTTTGAGGCCAGCCTGGTCTACAAATCAAGTTCCAGGACAACCAGGGCAGTTACACTGACTGGAAAAAACAAAGAAAACTTTGTTTCCTTACTTGTAATTAGGAGCAGTCAGGTTGTATTTGATGGTCAGACAAATTTATGTTCAGAGAGTATAGCTTGATGGTAGTGCACTTGGGAGACAGAGGCAGGCGGGTCTCTGAGAGTTCGAGGCTAGCCTGGTCTACAGAACCAGTTCTAGGACTGGTTCCATAGCTACTGAGAAAACCTGGGGGGGGGGTATTAATAATACTAAATACTTTCTGAACATACTATTAGTTACTGTTTAAGATAGGAGGCATACATTTTTATGTTTATGGGTGTTTCTGCTTTTGTGTGTCTGTACCGTGCATGTGCCTGCCTCTGCCTCCCGAGTGCTGGGATTAAAGGCATGTGCCACCACTGCCCGGCCCCCAACAATAATTTTTAATTAGTCCTGTTGAGTGAAAAACAAAGTTGTAGATGGGAGCTTGCCGTGGTACATAAGTGACAGACAGACACCAACTTTCAGAAGTCTGTTCTCTCCTTCCACCATGTGGGTCTTAAGGGTGGAATTCAGATCTTCAGGCTTATCAGCAAGTGTGTTTACCTGCCAAACCATCTCACCAACCCTAAAGCTGGTTTTTATTAGACAGCAGAAAATGTATCAAATATTGTTTTGTAGGAAGCATTCGAATTTAAAAAGCCAATAAGACCTGCATCTCGTGGCTGCCTGAATGCCCATGTACATGAGGAGAGTAAAGATTTCTTCACACACAGGCAGAACTCAGCCCCAGCTTGCATGGTATGTGTTGTGGCTTTCACATGGGGAGTTTGTCATGGGAAGAGAGTTCTCAACACTGCAAACCAGCATGCTTGTATGCATTAGTACATGTTACTGCTAGGTGTGGTGACTCATGTCTGTAAACCCAGCATTTGGGGGGCTGAGGCCTGTGAATTATCTGGAGTTACCTCATTGACAGGTTAGAACGTTTCATTAGAGAGGTTGGTTTGTTTGTCAAAGGACATGTAAAATAGACTAGAATTTAACTGTAAGTTCCCCAGTTCATGATAACAGTTTGACATATCTTGATGGATACTTGGTGATCAGAGTGCCAAGATTTTCTATGATTGCTTGATCATTAAAGAAGGCACCAATAATTACAGGTGCTGAGGTGCAGACTTTTTTGTTATGTATCCCTGTAGGCCAGAAGAGGGCACTGGATCTCATTAAGGGTGGTTTGCTGGTAATTGAACCCAGGTCCTCTGGAAGAGCAGCCAGAGCTTTTAACCTCTGAGCCATCTCCAGGCAAGGATACAGACTTAAAAAGCCATTGTTGATTTTACTGATTTAGCTTTTGTTTGGATTGGGCTTGTTGTTTGCTTATTTTGAGACAGGATGTCTTAAAATCCCAGGCTAGCTTCAAATTTGCAATGCAGTTGAAAACTGCTCCTGTCTCTGGAATTGCAGCTGTTTGCCACCACAACCAACTGATTTCCAGGTTTGGGTGTCAAATAGGTGAGGTGTATGATCTTGCTAACCTTAAGCATCAGTTTCCTTTCATTAAACACTCTTTGGGTATGTTGGTACTTGTAATCCCTGCTCCTCCCGGGGCTGAGACAAGGTGAAGTCTAGGGGCACTTAGTCTCAAGGCAGAAAGAAGGGATTGACTAAAATAGTGTGTGCTGCGGCTTAAATGAGGTTATAGTTGTAAAGATTTTGTCCTAATGTCTAGGACATAATCTCTCAAGTTAAAATTGGGCGGCTATGTCTGATTTAAGTCATTTTTACTTTTCATTATGGGAGGTGCGGGCTGTATATGAGTACAGATGGCCGAGGAGGCCAGAGGCTGAGGATCACATGGGTACTGTCTAAGGGGTACTTGGAATCAGACTTAGCTTCTGCAAGAGCGGTGCTTGCTGTTAACCTCTGAGCCATCTCTAATCTGGCTGTCATAACTCAATGAAGAGCTAGGTTGGACAATGCACTTGGTAGTGTGCACTTGTGATCTCAACATTTGAGGGGTAGAAGGAAGGCTCGGCCTGTACTTTCCTGTCTCCAAAGATAAGAAAGGACTAGGATAGACTTCAGAACAGGTTCCCTTTGTTTCCATCTGTCTGATATGCTATTTTGTGATAGAGATTTGTATTTCCACAAATTGTATACTATCACAGTTTGCACATGGCACTCTTAGCTCTCACTGTAAGAACTCATAGGCAATGGTGGTGGTGCTGACTCTAATCCCAGAGGCAGGCTCATCTGGATTTGAGATCTGGTCTACAGGGTGAGTTCCAGGACTGCCTGGGCTACACAAGAAACCCTGTCTTAAAGAGGAAAAACAAAGCAAGAGGTCAGGAGCTATAGAATCCAATGCTGCCTTCTGATCTCTGAGGATACCGGGTTCACACATGATACACACGCATATTATCTTTTCTTTTTTTGAGCGATCCAGCTAAGCAAATCAAAATGAACTAGAGTTCTTGCTAACTTTGTCTTTCAGCTATCTTCAAATGAAAGTGATAACAATGAATCGGGACATTTCAGTCCTCTTTTTACATCCCAGTCCCCTGTGAAAGCCACTTTGTCTGATGAGGATGATGGTTTCATAGATCTTCTGGATGGAGAGAATCTGAAGGTACCATCTGTGGGTGTGGGTATGCCACTAATGAGCCACTACTGGAGAAGCCTCCTAAGTAGAAACAGTTCCTGGAGCCTCAGCTGGCTGACTGATGGTTCATTTGTGAGATTATTGGGACTCTTCCCTGCTTGAGTAAATCCTATTGCAGGCGGGAGTCACAAGGTACTGACGAGATACTTCTGTAACTAAGATAGCATAGTGGTAGAACATGTGCTTAAGGTGTGCAGGGCCTTGGTTTCAATGTCTTGTGCCAAAAAAAGAGGTACTGGCCTTCCCTGGTGGTAATGCCTGTGATCTCAACATTTAGGATGCTGAACAGGATTACTGTAGCCACAAGTTAGGCCAGCTACACAGTAAGACTGTCTCCAAACACAAAAAAAATTTATCCAGGCTTCTCTGTCACTCTTTAGGAGAGTTAAATGCAAAGCATTTATTCTTGACTGGGTCCTTTTCTTCTTCCCAGCCCCTCCGCTGCATTTAAAAAGTTTTTCTCTTGCTCTAGAATGATGAGGAGACCCCATCGTGCATGGCAAGCCTCTGGACAGCTCCCCTTGTCATGAGAAGACCTACAAACCTTGTAAGTTACTCCAGTATGTGGAGTTTTGAGTAGTTGAGCCACTGAACAAAGTAGTCCTTAACTATGGAATAACCTAGGATTTAGGACCTACGTTTTAGCTTGTCATTCAAGGATCGGATTTTAATCGAAGGTGGATCTGTCTCTTACCCTAAGGGCAATCGATGCAGGCTGTTTGACTCCCCTTCCCCGTGCAGCTCCAGCAGCAGCTCCAACACCCGGTCAATGTTGAAGAGAACAGAACGCTCTTATGAGGAGTCTCCTCGAGGAAATACGAAGCGGAGGAAGAGCATGGCCAGTCCTGTAAAGGCAGATAATCTAGAGCCAACCCAAGAGGTTAGTTCTGCAAGTTCTCCTTTGGTCTACAAGAACAGTGGTTTTTGGGTGTTTTGTTTTTTTTTTTGTTTTTTCAAGACAGGGTTTCTCTGTATTGTTTTGGAGGCTATCCAGGCTGGCCTCGAACTCACAGAGATCTACCTGTCTCTGCCTCCCGAGTGCTGGGATTAAAGGCGTGCACCACCAACGCCCGGCCATTATGAGGGTTTTATTGTTTGGTTTGGGGGGTGCTTGTTGCTGGGGATTGAACCTAGTGCTTTGTGTATACTATTCAAGAACGTGGTCAACAACCTCCTTCTCCACTCTTATTTTCCTGTTTGGTTATGTTTGTTTGTTTAAGGGTAGGGACACAAACAGTGCACAGATGGATGTCAGACTACGACTTGGAAGCATTTCTCTTTCTACCATGTGGGTCCCACCCAGGCTTAGAACTCAGAAGCAAAGAGTCCTTAACTTGCTACACCATCTTACTGGCTCCTGTTTGTTTTTTAAGCCTCATTCATTGTAGCTACATCGGGAAATATTGGGGTGTGTGTTATTGTTTGTTTGAGACTGTCTCACTATGTAGCCCTGGCAATCCTGGAACTCACTATGTAGGTCAGACTGGCCTCATACTCAGTGATGTGCCTGCTTCTGCCTCTAGAGTGTTGCATATTCTTGGTTTCAGCTTGTTTCACCCAGCAACTCAGGCTAGCCTTATTCTATCTCTCCATCTTTAGTTTTTTTTTTTTAAGATTTATTTATTTATTACATATACAGTGTTCTGTCTACATGCCAGAAGAGGGCACCAGGTTGAATTGTAGGTGGTTGTGAGCCACCATGTGGTTGCTGAGAATTGAACTCAGGACCTCTGGAAGAGCTGAGGCATCTCTCCAGCCCCTCCATCTTTAGTTTTTACCATTCTAACACTGGTACAGTTGGCAAATGTTATTTCACCCAACTGATGGTTCTTTTTATCTTTTAAGTGAAGGTTCTCTTGTGGCGTGGGCTGCTCTCAAGCTATGTAGTTTATGACGGCCTTGAACTTTTGATTCCTCTGTCTCGGTCTCTAGTGCTGGAATCACAACCATGCCTGGTGTGTGTGTGTGTGTGTGTGTGTGTGTGTGTGTGTGTGTGTGTGTGTGTGTGTGTGTGTGTGTGTGGTTCTTGCTTTCCTGGAACTCACTCTAGACCAAGCTGGCCTCAAATTCATCTGCCTCTGCCTTTCAGGCTTAAGCCACCTCCACCCAACATTTTACTGTTTTTTTTTTTAACATGTGTGTGCATGTGTGTGTTCACATGTGCCATGGTACATAAGAAGCTGTCTATAAACAGAATGGCTCCAGCTTCAGATATTGCTAAACGAGGATAGATTTGGTATATTCCTGTAAGGCATAGCCTATATAGCCCAAGTTGACTTTAAATTCATGATCCTTCTGCCTAAACCTCCTGAATGGTAGAGCCCGTGTTTCTTATTGACTTTTTCTTACTTTTGAGAAAATATCTCACTGCTGGAATTAAAGGTATAAACCACCAAACCCGGTTTCTGTATTTAGGTGTGTGTGCATACACACTAGTATTTGTAGGTCAGAGATTCGCTTTCAGGAATCTGTTTCCTCCTTCCACCATATGAGTCCTGGGAGTCAAATTCAGATTATCAGGCTTGGCAGCAGGCACGCTTACCCTTTGAGCCATCTTGATGATTGTGTTTTCTTATTGGTTTCAAGACAGGGTTTTTTTCTGTGTAGCCTTGGCTGTCCTGGAACTCACAGAGATCCATCTGCCTCTGCCTCCTGAGTGCTGGGATTAAAGGCGTGTGCCACCACCGCCTGGCCTATGGTTTGTTTAATTCTTTGTCTTAAAAAAAGAGGCAAATTACCATCAAATACCATCAAAGACTGCTGTCGTGGGGTGCCTCTCAGCTCTAACCTGACAGGCTGGGCTTGGGGAAGAATCTTAAGGTGCCCAACCACCTCCACCCTCTTTTTTTTTTCTTCCGGTTTTTCGAGACAGGGTTTCTCTGTAGCTTTGGAGGCGTTCTGGAACTCACTCTGTAGACCAGGCTGGCCTCGAACTCACAGAGATCCTCCTGCCTCTGCCTCCTGAGTGCTGGGATTAAAGGCGTGCACCACCAACGCCCGGCACCTCCACCCTCTTTTTAAATGCTATTTTGGTGCAAGGAAGACCTGTGTGCACCATGGCTTGTATGGGGGTCAGAGGACAACTTTCCATAGTTGGTTCTCTCGCCATCCTGGGTTCCCAGGATTGCTGTCAGGCATATACAAGTACTTTTTCCCTCTGGACCACCTCACTCTCCCTTGTGCCTTTGAAAGGCTTACTACTCTGTCCTTGGAAGAGGGAAAAAAACAAAAAGAAATGGTTGTTTCAAGGTCCCAATCTCCCCTTTTGGACTGCCTGCCTCTCGATGACTAGTTTTCAGGCTTGTTTACATACACAATGGTTCCTTGTGTAGCTGTTCATTGTTGCTGTGCTAGCCTACAAAGGAAAGCCTAGATCACAGAAGACTATTTAGAAGCAATCTAAGTGATCTTTACAACTTCTTGAATTTGTTTTCTCACAAAAAGCCTTATCAGACATTCAGGAACTCTACTGAGATAAAGTAATTATGTTTTATTTTGTGGGATACTTGACAATGGTCTTCTGTTTGGGGTTTGGTTTTTGTTTTGTTTGCTTTCAGCAGATTTTTGCCATATAGCCTTGGCTAGGCTCAAACTGTAGCAATTCTCCTGATTTTTGCATTACTGAGCCTCAGCTTGATGTCAACTCAAAAGTTTTCATTTTGAACAATAAAAAGGCAAAAGGCAAAGGTGCTGGGTAATACCTATGGGTCTCTGAGTTTAATGCTAACCTGGTCTACATTAGCCAGCCAAAGATACACAGTAAAACTTTGTCTCCAAAAAGGATAGAGGGGGGTTCTCATAGAAATTCAGCTAGTTAATAAATTGAAGGGCCTACCTATCTTTCCTTCTGATTCAGTCACATTACAAAATCTTTTACTTAATATGGGCATTCATTCATATTTCAGTCTCCTTTTGTCATGGTCAAGGTAAATATTTTGGAGTTCTAGTCGAAACCCTGGTGTCATCCTCTGCCTTTGGTTTGTTACAGCTTCTACACCAGCCTTTATCCCTGACATCTTCACCCAAAGGAACCATTGAGACCATTTTGGACAGTGACCCACGAGACCTTATAGGAGATTTCTCCAAGGTAACTGCAAGAAGAGTTATCTGGTTGGGTAGTACTGAGGAAGTGATGGGGGTGGCTAGAACCCCACTTAGCCTTTCTCCTTCAAGGTGCCTCTTAGGGTGCCCCCAAGGCAATAGTTTAAAAAGTTAAAGACAAAGAACAAGTTGAGCTTCTAATGATGAGGTACATGCTGGTCTTTGAGACTGTTAACTAGTTTAGTGGTTTCCTGTTGGCTGTCTGCCTTCACTCTGACCCATAGTGCAGGTACTCTGGGAGCTGGACTTCTGACTATAAAAATAGTATGCATGTACAGCCATGCTTTGAGTCCATATGTTTGTTGAGAGGTATCTTAGAAAGTCCAGGTTTTCTGGGTGGTAGTGGCATATACCTTTAATCCCAGCAATTAGGAGGCAGAGGCTGCCAGTTTGATCTACCTAGTGAGTTCCAGGATGGTGGGACAATATAAGGCTTGTGTAACCTTTGACTTGAGAATATTGGTGGTTTGTCTTGTGGTCATGGGTGAGCTCTTAGTTTGGCCAGTTATCCTCTAAGTAACATCACTGTGTGTCTTTCTTAAGGCTGGACCAAGATTGTTTTCCCATTCCCACTGCTCACCTCCATACTGGGCGACCAGGTGCTCATCAGATAAGCAAATTGTCTAACTTCTGAGGCGGGGGAACAGTATACAGTACCATGCCTGTTTTGTTAGAGTCTCATGTCCCATTGGCACCATGCTCACACCCAGGCTGGAGGTGATCTTGAATTCCAAAGGCTGTCATTATAGACCTGAGCCACCATATCTGGTTCTCTCTCCTTCTGTGTTGTTTATTTTCTTTTATCTGTATCAGCCCTGGCTGTCCTGGAGCTAGCACTGTAGACTAGGCTAGTCAGGAACTCACAGAGATCCCCCTGCCTCTGCCTCCCGAGTGCTGGGATTAAAGATGTGCGCCACCAATGCCCGGCTTCACACTCTAACCACTAAGATGAGAGTTCCTGATTAAAAATGAGAAAGGGGAAATCCCCTACAATTTCTGTGTTTAAATCTAGCCTCAGTTCCAAGACAACCTGGCCTGTGCTGTCTCAAGGCTCACTCCTTTAATCCCAGGAGCAGATACATCTCTGAGTCTGGAGGCAGATTGGTCTACATAATGAGACCATTCCTCCTTAAGCAAATAACAATTAAGTATCTGAATGTTAGTTAGGTGCATAGAAGGGTAGTTAGCATATACTATTCACTTATGTTTGTTTCTGGGTTTGTTTTTTTGGACTGCTTCCTACCAGCTGGGCAGCAGAGGAAACATTTGCAAGCTTTCATGTTCCCCTAAGTGTCTTTTGTTCCTTTTTTTAAGGGTTATCTCTTTCATACAGTATCTGGGAAGCATCAGGATTTGAAATATATTTCTCCAGAAATTGTAAGTCAGACTTGTGTTACCCGGTGCACATGGGGAGTTGGAATCTTGTTACCTGACTGCCACTATTGACACCCTGCCCCCCTTTCTCTTCATAGATGGCATCTGTTTTGAATGGCAAGTTTGCTAATCTCATTAAAGAGTTTGTTATCATTGACTGCAGATATCCATATGAATATGAAGGAGGTCACATCAAGGTTTGGATTCTTGAGACTTATTTTGGGTGGCTTAGAGGAGGGATATTGACACCTCAGCTGATGGTGAGGATTTAGAACAAGCCAGTAGGCACGAACGGAATGGACATTCCCACCAGTCCCTGGCTACCACTGAGTTGCAATGCTCTCTGCCTTATCTGTCCCTCACACTATCCTGTTTCAGGGCATTTATTTCTAGGTGGCACCCCTGATGTCTAAGCTACTCAGTGGAGCCACAGAGGGTTTCCATAGTACTTGAAATGCTTTAATACAAATGTATGACCACCCGAGAGCTCCTGACTAGAAGATGCCATTCTGGCAACATGCCTTGATATCTGTACTGGGCCTCTATTCAAACAGCCTACCTGGTAGAGGGACATATTGGAACACATGTTTCTGGTCATACCACTTTAATATTACCTTATAAAGTGGTGTCTAAATGTGGTGAGGGGGTATTACCTTCTAACTTTATGAAGTGACACTTGGAGATAATTTCCAGTTCTCATACTTGTTACTGAATGCCCGAAGTATATAGACCTATAGAGAGAGCCTCATTGAGATACGAAAGGCAGGCAGTCTGCTGGGCTGCTGTGTCAGGAGACCCGCAGGATCACAAATTAGTCTGAGGAGCTGGCCCCCTCTTTGAGTCTTCAGATGGTAAGAGTATCTTCTGTCTTCAAAGGGTGCCGTGAACTTGCACATGGAAGAAGAGGTTGAGGAGTTCTTACTCAAAAAACCTATCGTATCTACTGATGGCAAGCGTGTCATTGTCGTATTCCACTGTGAGTTTTCTTCAGAAAGAGGCCCTCGGATGTGAGTACCACAAAGAATAAGGCACTTGGGCAGAGGCTTTATGATGTTTTGTTAAGCCTGGTAGTGTGTTTCTTTTTCACTAGTGGCAAAAGTGTAGTAGAAGTCACTTCAGTACCTTAGTCTACACATGGCACATAAACCTGGCTTTTATGAAAATCAATTCTGTATAACATAGTTTCCCTTAATTCTATTTCCTATTCAGTCATTTGTTTTACAAACAGCCTGCGTGAGTGCGTGCATGGCTCAGAAAACAGACACGGTTTCTCTGTATTGCTTTGGGGCCTTTCCTGGAACTCGCTCTGTAGACCAGGCTGGCTTCGAACTCAGATCCATCCACCTGCCTCTGCCTCCCCAGTGCTGGGATTAAAGGCATGCGCCACCAACGCCCACCTTCAGAAAACGTCTTGAGAGTCTGTTCTATCTACTGTGTGGATTTCTGGGATCAAACTCAGGTTGTCAAGCACCTTTACCCACTGAGCCATCTTTGTTTTTGAGACAGGGTTTCTGTGTAATCCTGACTGTTCTGGAATTTGCTCTGTAGACCAGTACTATCTGCCTCTGCTTCCTAGGTGCTGGGAGCCCAAACAGATTTCTTGAATGTAATTTTATAGGCTTAACTTAGAAGTTTCGGGACAAATGATTTTCAGGTTCCTCTGGTCCAGTCACATTGATGAGACTCCAGTTTCCCCTGCTGTGTTTAGTTCTGTTTATTGGTCTTGTGTAATATCCTTTAAATATTAAGCAGTTCTTTCTTATGCAAACCTGAAGTTCCCAGGCCAACCTGAGCTACATGAGACCCTATCTCAAACTTAGTCACTAACTTACTCACAGACTGGAGGTGTGGCTCAAGTCAGTGATGGATAAAGCATTTGTCTGGTATTTTTGTAAGGTCCTGGGTTCAGGCCCAGCACTAAAATAGAGGAGTAGATACCTGCTATGTAGCAGATACAAGTGAGATAATAAAATGGGGCCATTCATTAAAGATAAAGTGAGGCTGAGCATCCATGGTGGCTCAATAAGGAAAAGGATACAGGTGGGAGGTTCAGTCCTGAGTAATAGTAAATAGATTCAAACTGCTAGTACTTACATTTATTAAGAAAGAGACACTCAGCTGGGCTATGATGGCGCACACCTTTAATCCCAGCACTCGGGAGGCAGAGGCGGGTGGATCTCTGTGTGTTCGAGGCCAGCCTGGTCTACAGAGTGAGTTCCAAGACAGCCTCCAAAGCAATACAGAGAAACCCTGTGGGGGAGGACGACAAACTCCATAGAATGGGGGTGGGTTAGTGAGCTGTTACGGGCGTAGACTCAGAAGACTGTGTCCTTGGTCTTGGGCACGCTTTGCTCCTTGGGTGAACCGCTGGGGTTGAAAGCAGTCCTTGGTGTGTGGAAAGGCACTGCCGCAGAGCTGCGCTCCTCCCTTTGCTGAAGTTATACGAGCTTGTGGTTTCATCTTGCTGCTATTCTTTGCACAGGACCTGAATAGTCACACATGAAAGGAGATATCAGGAACTTGCATCCCAGTCTCAGAGTCTTCGTACGCTAGGCGTTTTTCTTTTTTGGGGTGGCAGTTCGAGGCAGGGTTTCTCTGTATTGTTTTGGAGGCTGTCCTAGAACTTGCTCTGTAGACCAGGCTGGCCTCAAACTCAAAGAGATCCGCCTGTTTCTGCCTCCCGAGTGTTGGATTAAATGCATGCGCCACCAACGCCAGGCTTGCTAGGCGGTTTTCTAAGCACTGGGAAAACATTAGCAATAACAGTATAAAACAAAACTAAAACCCTGCCTTTGTGGAGGTCACATTCGGAGTAAGGAGGAGCCAAAGGAGCATAGCAAATACTTAGAACTGTGCAAAATGTTCAGAAGTCCTTCAAAATGAAGTGAAACCTGGGGGAGCCCTGGGTCAGAAGAGCAAGGAGACTGGAGTGGATGAATGAGATGCAGTTGGCGCCACACCTAGGGCACAGCTGCAGCTTGTGTGCAGGTTTGGGCAACGTGAGCTAGTGACAAGAGCTTCCAGTAGTCACTCCTACATGGGGTCCAGTAGGTTCTCCCAGGAAGTAGAAGGCCTAGTCTGTCAAGGCATAGGAGGAAGGGTTGTTTCAATAAAAGGAGGCGGATGGGGAGAAGGTACAGGGTGGATGCACTTAGGAAGGGGTGTCTGATCACCACCTTTCTTACTGTTTCCAGTTCCCTACACTGAAGCCGCCTGACTTTTCTTTCATTCCTAGGTGCCGATATGTGAGAGAAAGAGATAGGCTTGGCAATGAATACCCCAAACTCCACTACCCTGAGCTGTATGTCCTAAAGGGGGGATACAAGGAGTTCTTCCTGAAATGCCAGGTGAGGCGTCTGTGATAAGCATGTCTCCACATGCCCATGCTGGACCAATGGTTAGTTGTTGCTGCTGCTTGGGTGGGGTCTCAGCCTTGCAGCTCTAGGTGAGGGGAAGCCAGGCTGTGTGAAGCATTTCACATCCTGACCTTGCCCCTCATTCTCCCTGCCCTATAGTCTCACTGTGAGCCCCCTAGTTACCGACCAATGCACCATGAAGACTTTAAAGAAGACCTGAAGAAGTTCCGCACCAAGAGCCGGACCTGGGCGGGGGAAAAGAGCAAAAGAGAGATGTACAGTCGCCTGAAGAAGCTCTGAAGCCAGACGGCAGCGGCCGTGTTTCCCTCTGCCCCTTTCCTTTCCCTTTGCTGCAGAGCAGGAAGTAAAGGAGCCAGCTGTGGTACGTGGAGAAAGATGTGGGCCTTCCGTGCCTTAAACCTGTCTCCTACACTCCCAGGTTAGAGCCCAGGGCTCTCCTGTCCTATAAGACTCCTTCCCTGTCAGGACTGTCTGCCACAGCGCAGACCAGAGTCTACAATCTAGAGCGCCGTGTCAAGCTGCTCTGCCTGAGCGTCCCATGAAGAGTAGCTGGGGCTTTATTGGGCCTCCTGTCATGAGGGGAGCAAATGGAAGTGCTGCTGGCCAAATACCAAAGATAGGCTGGAAGGGAGAGGTCCTTGTGGATGACCCATAACTTTTAATTTATTCAGCTTCATCCATTATTTTATTTTTTTAATTCCTCAAGACTTTTACTTTACTGCTTCATTAAGTCAAAATACTGCCATCCTAGGTAGAGTTTTATCATCCCAGGAACTACCTCCACTTTTAATTTAAAAAAAGAAAAGAAACTGGGGCAGGGATAAGAAAAGGAACCCTGTTGTGGACAGCGCTAGGAGCTCCGTCACCCCTAGGAGGCACTGAGGACTGGGATTGCTGCTACTCAAAGTCAAGGACTGAGATGCTGGGAAGAGCCTGCACCAGATCCAGCTTGACTACAGGACATAAGCTAACCTTCTCAGACCGACCTCTGTCCTTTGTGACGTCCAGGTTCCCATGATCGTGGTCTATAGGAAAGCACTTGAGGCAGCTTTCCATCTGGCCCCCCTCAGGCCAGTGCTGGAATGCTGTAGTGTGGTAACCCAAGGTGAGGGGGGGAAGGGATGAGTGGAGTCCTGGGGAGGGCGGAGCATGCTCATTGAATGTCCTTTAAAAAAGTCATTGTGTGAGTCGAGTATCAAATCATTGTTGGGTGGGCACCCAAGGGTGAGAAGGGGGCCAGAAGCCCCGGCCATTGGGTAGAAGGAGTAGGTCCTGGCCTACAGATGGCTGTAGAATTTCTCAGGAGGAAGTGGTAAATTTTGAAGTAAATGTTCTGGGTTTATCATGTTTTAATTTGAGGGACAGGGAGTGATAAATCACACAATTAGCCCCTTAATCTAGCCCCATGGAAGTGAGGCTCTCGAGGGAACATCTCCCATCTGAGGAGCTGGGCTGGGCTTTGGTTGTGTCAGCCTACATTGGTGCCTGTTCATCAACACCCCAGGCACCAGTCTCCTGGTCGCTCATCTTTGCTCCACTGGGGTCTAGCCAGGTTTTTCTTAGGGAAAGTCTCCCCTCTTACCTCTGCTTTCTATTCTGGGGGTGGGGAGGGAATCAGTGATATTGAAGATGGCTAGTTGTTTTGTTATGGGTTTGAGTTACATTTGGCTATAAAACAAATCTTGTTGGAAAATACATGGAGAACAAGGGAATGAGCAGCCTCTTCCCCAGTATTGAAATGTGTCCCAATTAGTCTCTGGTTTGTAGAGATTCTGTTAGTTGAATGCCTTGAAGGAGAATGGCTTTTGTATGGTACCAGCTTAGCTAGAATTGTTAACCAACTGTTGCAGGCTCTGCAAATAAAACTGACCTTGAACCCATAGTCTCTGCCTAGTTCCTAATATACTCAAAGGGGACTTTCATTTTCACTTAGCTTTCTAGGGTCACCTAACTAAAACTGAGGCAACCATATTTCCTCGAGGATAAAAAGATGATACAGTTTGGTTTCAGCGATGGCTGGAACAATCCCATCATCACTAGAGTCCAGAAACATGCTCAGTGACTGACAGGATGAAATGGGCATTTAGCTCTAAGGCACAGCTGTACACACCTTTGACCCCTGCACTCTGGGTATAGCCCACTGGATCTCTGAATTCTGGGCGAGAGTCACATGATGAGACCCTATTGAAAAATAGTTCCTTTGCCAGGTGGCACACACCTTTAATCCCAGTGCTTGGGGAGCAGAAACAGGCGGATCTCTCTCGCATCTGAGGACAGTCAGGGCTACATAAAGAAACCGTGTCTTGAGAAAAAACAATTTCCCGGTCCTTGGGAGGTAAAGAGCAGATTGGAACTCAATCCTGCCACATCTATGTCCATGCTTAGTAAGTTGATCTTTTGTATGTAAATTCCTTCAACTTCAGCTACTTACTGGCCAAAGCAGGAGTATATTAAGTTCAAGACCAGCCTTGGCACCTTAGAGAGACTAGATCTCAGAAAAATGTAAAGGCCTTGAATGTAGCTCAATGGTTGAGTACTGTCTAGCATGTTCGGTACATGTGTTAGTCCCTGGGCAGCAGCAAGAGGGGAGAAACGTAAAGGCTTTAAAAGAGGTCTTTAGGGTAGGGAGGTGACTCAACCTAAGAGCACTGGCTGTTCTTCCAGAGTTCCTGAGCTTTAATCAGGCAGGCAGATGTATTCGAGTTCAAGGCCAGCCTACAGAGTGAGTTCCAGGACAGACTTCTGTCTTGGGAAAAAAAAACAGAAATGTTTAGAAATGTAGGGGCTGCTTTCCAAGGTATAAGGGGTGGGTCTGTGACTAGATGGACATGAGGAATATGGTAGGGAAATAGCAAGGCTGGAAACCAACTCATCTCAAACCAGGGCAAGAAAGAGGGGAGAAGCAAGGGAAGGTGGTAAGAGGCTTGGTTTCAGGCGGATCTCTGAGTTCGAGGCCAGCCTGGTCTATAGAACAAGTTCCAGGACAGCCTCCAAAATAATACAGAGAAACCCTGTCTTAAAGACAAAAAAAAAAAAAAAAAAAGAGGCCTGGCTGTATAGAAACTGACGAGGTGGGCGTTGGTGGCGCACGCCTTCAATCCCAGCACTCAGGAGGCAGAGACAGGTGGATCTCTGAGGCCAGGCTGGTCTACAGGACAGCTTCCAAAACAGTACAGAGAAACCCTGTCTCAAAAAAACAAAAAAGGAAACTGACAGCCTCTATCAAGATGGGTGAACTGGGATTCTTGGACAAGCAGGGACTCCTGGAAGGGCAGAGCCCTTGGATGAACAAGTCCTAGAACAGTACACACCGTCTCTTCCTGTGACCCTGGGAAGATGTCCAGTCTCCCCTTTGTCTTCTCAGATTTCAGTCAGCACTTGAGGCTGCCATGGCTGTACTGGCCACCAGATGGCAATGGTGCCCCAGGTTAGTCCCCTCAGCAACTTTTTTTTTTTTCTTCTGGGTTTCTCTGTGGCTTTGGAGGGTGTCCTGGAACTCACTTTGTAGACCAGGCTGGTCTCGAACTCACAGAGATCCACCTGCCTCTGCCTCCCAAGTGCTATGATTAAAGGCGTGTGCCACCAACGCCTGGCCCCTCAGCAACTCTTCCAAAAAGGCAGCTGAGATAAAAGCCTGGGGTCCTACTTGGAGCTGCAAGTTTGCTTTCTTCGTTTTCCCTGGGCCCTGTGATTTATTTTGAAAGACACAGGGGTAGGGTCCACTTCAAACTTTTCTTTGTACAATTTGTAATTTCAGCTCCAGGGAATTCCACATCTGGTCTCTAAGGGCACCTTCACACATGTACACACAAATGTGCACACACACAAAATTAAAATAAAAATTTAAAGAGTTCTGCCAGGCAGTGGTGGCACATGCCTTTAATCGCAGCACTCAGGAGGCAAAGTGAGTCTGAGGATGGCCTGTTCTACAGAGCAAGTCCCAGGACAGCCAGGGCTACTCAAACTGTCAAAAACAAATTTTTTTTAAATTTCTAAGTAGACATAGTGGTTTGTTCCTATAATCCCAGCACTTTGGAGGTGGAGGCAGGAGGTTTGCTGCCAGCTTGAATCTAGCATTGACTACTTAGGAAGAAGTTAGAGGCTAGCCTAGACTACAAAGTAAGAAGCTACCCAAAGACCCAGCCAGCAGTGAGGATTCAGTTCCCAACACCCATGTCAGGCATCTCACAATCTCCTTGTGACTCCAGTTCCAGGGCATCTGATGTCTTTCCTCTTCTGCCTTCTGAGGGCACACACACAGACACGTAAATAAAGAGAAATCTTGGATTTTGTTGTTTGAGATAGGATCTCACTGTAATCCTGGCTGGCCAGGCTAGCTCACAGAGTTTCTTCTGCTTTCAAAGGCATATACCAAAGTATCTGCCAAAAATAAATCCTTAGAAAAAGAAACTAGTCCAGATAAGTTTGGAGAAACCCACATTAAGCCACTGTTACTTGGGATTTGGTTTTGTTTCCCAGGACTTCTTTCTGCAGAGCCACTGTTTGTTGGTTTGGTTTGGTTACTGATGCAGACTACCCACGTTTTATGAATGGGAACACCCATGCTCCAGTAGTGATTGAGTTCCTTCTGGTTACTCATTGACAAACAGCGGAAGTGGGAGTAGGCCTTTGCTTTCCAGTTCCAAGTCCTAGACTCTTTCCTAACTTTCTCTTGCTTTCAAGTCACCTTCCAAAGAGTTATGCTAGTGAGCTGTGAGCTTGCTTCTTGCCTGACTAGGCTCTATATGAAGAGAATTTCCAGGGAATCACTCGTGTCTCAGCTTCAGTCTGGGGATTTCTGCCTCCTGTGTCAATTGAAAGACCAAGCCTGGGAAAGTACAGTGGAGGAGGTCACCACTGAAGACTCCTGATGTCAGCTTTGGGTCTTCACAGGCCATCATGTGTGTGTGCACATGTGCACACATACACACACACAGGCCAAAAAAATCAGGGTGAAGAGGCGTGGAAAAAGATACCTCAAGTCAACATCTGGCCTCCATGTAAGCGCATCCACCCACACGAACACAAACACACACTACAAAGGTGCCCTTCAGTGCAAGCCCTGAACATACAAAAGGCAGGGAGAAAAGAGGCCTGCAATAACTAGTCTGGAAGAGAGAAGAAATTCCGCTGAAGCCTAGTGTCCTGATCCCTTCCTGCAGGACAGCAGGCACACCCCATCAAAGGATACAGAGGCCCCTGCATGGGTGGGAGAGTGTCTTCAGGACCTTTTTTTTTGTTTGTTTGGTTTTTGAGACAGAATCTCATTCTGTAGCCCTGACTGTATCTAGTTTATTCAGTGCTGGTGAATTGAACCTGGAGCTTTGTTCATGCTGGAAAGGGGCTCTGCCGACTGAGCTACATCCTCAGACCTTTCATTTTCAACTTTATGTACATGGGTATTTTACCTGCATGGACATCTATGCACCTCTTGTGTACGTAGCACCCTCAGAGGTTGTGAGCTACTTTGTGGGTTCTGGGAATCAAATCCAGGTCCTCTGGAAGAGCAGCCAGTGCTTTTTACCACCGAGCCATCACTCCAGCCCCTCTAAAATACTTCACAAAGAGCACCTCCTTCCCCTAACAAAAACAGCTCAGTCTGGGGGCTGGTGGGCTGAGGACTGGGCAGGCTCCCTCTTACCCCTGTGTGTGTGTGTGTGTGTGTGTGTGTGTGTGTGTGATTTTTTGAGACAGGGACTCCTTATGTAGCCCTGGCTGTTTTAGACTTCACTATATAGATCAGGTTGACCTCAAATACCCCTGTGTGTGTGTGTGTGTGTGTGTGTGATTTTTTGAGACAGGGTCTCCTTATGTAGCCCTGGCTGTTCTAGACTTCACTATATAGATCAGGTTGACCTCAAACAAGGAGATCCATTTATCTCTGCTTGCCAAATGCTGGATGAAGTGTGTGTATCACCACATTCAGCTTTGACTTAATTGGGGGGGGGGTGCAGGAGAGTTCAAGACAGCGTTTCTCTGTAGCTTTGGAGCCCGTCCTGGAGAGCTCTGTAGACCAGGGTGGCCTCGAACTCACAGAGATCTGCCTGCCTCTGCCTCCTGAGTGCTGTGATTAAAGGTATGCACCACTAACTCCCAGTGGCTTAATTTTTTTATTGTTGTTGTTTTGATTTTTTTAGACAGGGTTTCTCTGTGTGGCCCTGGATGTTCTAGAATTAGCTTTGTAGACCAGGCTGGCCTCGAATTCTGAGATCTACCTGCCTCTGCCTCTCAAGTGCTGGGATTAAAAGCACCACCCCCTGGAGGACTTCTATTTTTGTTTTTTGTTTTTGTTTTTGTTTTTTCTTCAGAGACAGGGTTTCTTTGTGTGGCCCTAACTGTTCTGGAACTTGCCGTGTAGAACAGGCTGGCCTCGAACTCACAGAGATCCGCCTCCCTCTGCCTCCCAAGTGCTGGGATTAAAGGTGTGCACCACCACCAACTGGTGGAGGGCTTCAGTTTTTTTTAGTACAATGATTGTCTCTGGCCGGGCGTTGGGAGCACTTGGGAGGCAGAGGCAGGCGGATCTCTGTGAGTTCGAGGCCAGCCTGGTCTACAAAGTGAGTTCCAGGACAGCCTCCAAAGCTACAGAGAAACCCTGTCTCGAAAAACCAAAAAAAAAAAAAAAATGATTGTCTCTGAATAACTCCGTCAATAGGTTCTCATGAAGTTAAGTTTCTAGCTTCTGGCTAGAAGACCCTGCTTTCCTTCCTTCTTCCTGCTGGGTCCTCGTAGGAGAACTCTGAATACAGAAAGAGCTTGGACACCACTTGATTCAAGTTGGACATATGAGAGAAACTATCTGGGCAAAGGCTACCTCCTGACTACTCATGTCTCCTGAATGTCACGTCCGTTCCCAGTCCCAGCTGACCATGCTCCAGCATT